CCGCCCTCCGACTCCCTCCTTCCGATTTTCTCGCTCAAGCCCGCTCTTCCCAGTCTGAGCTCTCACGCTTTGTCTCCAGGCCCGGGCAGATGAACCCCACCCCCTCCTCCCGGGAGTTGGGAGGGTCTGTGTGCCTCCGGGGACGGGGCCTGCGGCCCTTCCCGCCGGAGCTTCGTCCCGGGGCCGCTGGCTCGCCAAGGTCACGGGTGGTGGCGCAGCGTCAGGAAACCTCGCCGCCCGCTGCCAGCCCTCCCGGCGTCGCTCTTCGGAACAAACTGTTTTGGCAGACCTGTAAAAGTCCCTGGAAAATTGAGTATTGCAGCAAAGCGTCGTGAGCCGGGGAAGCACCAAATGTTCTAGTGAAGAATTGTAGTGGGGCACGGCCGCTGGCTCGCCAAGGTCACGGGTGGTGGCGCAGCGTCAGGAAACCTCGCCGCCCGCTGCCAGCCCTCCCGGCGTCGCTCTTCGGAACAAACTGTTTTGGCAGACCTGTAAAAGTCCCTGGAAAATTGAGTATTGCAGCAAAGCGTCGTGAGCCGGGGAAGCACCAAATGTTCTAGTGAAGAATTGTAGTGGGGCACAGGGCAGACCTGAGGCCCAGGTCGGCCAAGAGGTGAGACAGGAGGAAGTGCTGGGGCGATTGAGAAAAAGCTGGGGAAGGATGAGTTCCTTCGCTCAAAACACACGCAAACCACAAACACTTCCCCTGCTGCTCGACGAGTGCGGGTTCATTTCAGCTCAGTTCCAACAAACTTACTAAGAAAAGGCTTGAGAAATGTTCTTGTGAACAGTGACCTAGCGAAAACACAGAAATAACTTAGGTCTGTCTGTTTGATGTCATTAGAAGGGACTGAGAGGTCTCTTCTGTATTTCCCAGAGTTACTAATCAGGAAAAAAAACAAAGTCACCGGAGGCGATTATTCAAAGATTGCTAGCCCTTGTCCCTGGGTATGATTTTGTTTGATCTGAGGGGAATCTGAGAAATCTGTAGTTTTAAGTTTGTGCTTCAGGTGATTCTTATTTACAATACTGTATGTTATGACTTAAATTATTGCTGCCCTTGTGCCTTCCCTCTGTTAGTCTTACCAAGTCAAGCCAGCTCTCAGCCGCAGTAAGCAGATTCTGGAACACTACTGAATCTTAAAATTAAAAAAAAAAAATTTTTTTTTTTTTTTTTTTTTTTTTTTTTTTTTTTTTTTTTTCTGTATCAGGCATGAAACTCAGGACCTTGTGCTTGGCAGGCAAGCATGGCACCACTTAGCAAAATCCCCAGCTATTTTATGGTTGTATTATAGACAGCTAAGATACAACTATAAGAGGTAGTCAGGGCTGAGCTCTCCAGAGTGAAAAGGTGAAAGCTACAACTGTGGTGAGGACAGAAGGACCAGGCCTACTGCTTCACCAAGGGATGCATGACAACACCTGGTGTAGGAAAGTGTAGACAGGCACCAGTCACCTCAGTGGGTGACTGAGACCACCCGAATCGAGCACCTGCTGAGTTCTTCGTTCTTTCCCTACTCTTGCTACATGACTTGCTTTGCCTTTGGATCTCTATTACCTAAGCTACTATACTTGTAACCTTACTGTTTAATCATAGCTGTGACCCACATGGGTTTTGCTCTGTCAGACTTCCCTGTAAAGTAGGTGTATGGGTTTGGGTCTAGATGTGTGCGTCCGCCCCCTCCATAGGTCATTTTTTCAGAGAGGGCTGAGTATAGAGTGTGTGATGCTGGGGTTAAGGGCGTGTGATTACTCAATCAGTTCTCTGATAGATTTGGCACCGCCCTAATTTCTGTAGTCTGGATGAGATAGAAGCTACAGAGAGAAGGTACTAAGGTCCCCTTGTTTTGTTACCTTCTGTCAGCGGCCATGAACTGGTGCACCTCTGGCATGTGCCACCCTGTCTTGGAGCCGGCAGTTAAGGACTGAAATCTACAAACTGTGAGCTACATAAACCTTATAAGAGGAAAGTAATACAATGGGGTCCAAGACAACCCATTTGGGTTCCTTACTGTCTGAGGAACAGTATCTTTCCTCCTCAATAAATATTTGCCTGCTTTTCTTTTAACTTCCATTTTTCCTAGAATTCATTCTTCAATTTTAAAGAACACAAGCTCTGGGTATCAAACATCTGGCAGGTTGGGAGATACGGTATTTTCATATTCATATATCATCTCTATCAGTTTCACTAAAAGCCTCTGAGTTGCCCAGACTGGTCTCATTGAGATCCTCCTGCCTCAGCCTCCCAAAAGCTAGGATCACAGGCTTACATCACCACAGCCCGCTAAACTCTAGTCCCTAGGCGAGCAATGGAGTGAGGATGCAAGGGCCATCAGTGCTGCTGGAGATTAGAACAGCAAACTGTGTGGGAAGTGGATGTGAACTGTTAGTTACAAAGTTCAGTGACACCTGCAGAACTTTTCTCAGAGTCCTGCTCTTGGAACCTATCGGACAGAGCTATCTTTAGTTCTTCTCCAGAGGCAGGTTTTTAAGGATGGTGTAGACCTGACCTCAGCCTGAGAAGCAGGAGACAGCAGTTGGTCTCCATCCAGCCTGCACCACTGTTAACTCTCGGGCCCATCCTGTTTGCAGGGTGTGTCTTTGCTTACTTTTAGTTGGCCTGACCTTGCTCTGCAGACCATGATTATTTTCTTTTAATACATGTAGAGTCTTGCTATCTTTGTAATCATTTTGACCAATTCTTTTGGACATAGAACCCAAAAACCACCTCTTGGAGACCCTAGCACCCTCAAAGCCAGTAACAGACACCCCTACCCCCAAGACTTTTTAGTTACAAGCAAAACTGTTCCTGAAGAAGAAATTGAAAACAAGGATAATGGGGTAATAAGGCAAGTTCTCTTTCTTATGGTACTGGGGCTTGAAACTTGGGCCTTTGCACTGAGCTACATTCCCAGCTTTCTTTAAAAAAATTTTAATGTTTTGTTTTTCCGGGACAGGGTCTCACGATGTAGTTCAGGCTGCCCTCAAACTTGTGATCTTCCTGCTTCAGCCTCCTGAGTGCTGGGATTACAGGTGTGTGTCGTCACATTCTACTACTCTGTTTATTTAATAATGTTTATTCCCTGATATATGTTACAGAGCACCTTTTGATAATTCATCCTGTCTACCAATCATTTATAAGTTTCTATTTGAGACTGTTTCAACCAAAAACGTCTCTAGCATTAAACCTAGACTAGTAAGATTCCCTTATAGCAGCTATTTCTTAGTGTTACTGGCCACTTGGGCCAGTCCATAATTTGTTTGTTCACCTCCAACTAGATCAAAGGTGGCCATTTATTCTGGTGAAATGAAAAAGGGATTTTTCCAAAGCTATCTCTGAGGAGATGAAGGAGCCCTATTAGCTCCCAGTCACCATCTTCCCCTGTAGAAGTGCATTAGTGTCTTT